AATGGCGATCAAAATTTTCCTTGTGCTTCTCGTTCGCGTCAATTTGGCAGCATTGATTTATTTATATACAACCTACGCTAGTGATATATAAGTCAATGTTGGTAGCTCGTTACGTGTGTAGTATGCGTAGATGTGATTACGAACTGCTGCGGCGTCGAAATGGTGTGAGTCAGTTACAGGGCAACGTTTCTTTCTCTTTTTATTTAGAGTAGATAATTTATTCTCCTCCGTTGATGTATCTCCAAATTTTTATTTGCTGATTCTAGTCACAGAAGCTCTTCCAATTCCAAGAGCCTCAGCAACTCTGTCACACACTTGTGACAATGGCAACATCAGCGATCCGCCATTTTGGTATTCACTATAGTGGTACAACGAATATTCATATTCGCCGAATAGTAGACATTTACCGAATATTCGTATTCGGCGAAAACTAATCATGAACATTTCAAAACGAATACTATTTTTGTACGCAACTCTAATTACTGGCAGACTTTGAAATCGCGCGTCTTCGGCGCGTAAAAAATACGACGTTTGCATAGGCCCTTATCCGCAATGACGGCTACACAAGGGCAGGGTAGATATTACTCATTTTAACACTCAAACAACTGAATCAATCTCTACCAAATTATCGTATTACGGCCAATTTTGAAGAAGCTACTAAAGAGTTAAGGAAGGAATCAACGACATTATCACAAGCAACCCCAATAATACGCAGTCAGTCAGTTAAATTTTGCCTCTGATCCATTGACCTTTTATTTGGCGAGATGTCCATTTTTCAAGGCTGAAAAAACTTGCCCATAAATATTTTTCACTGAAACTATGTACAGTCGCCTCAGAAAGGCTTTTTTCAAGGGACAACAAAACAAATAAAAAAATCGCCTAAAATCAGAAAATCTACAAACTTTATGTTTTTTTAATATCAAATAAATTAGTTTTTCAGTACCATAACAAGATATTCGTATTCGTATTCGCCGAATAGTAGGTTTGATGTTCGTATTCGTAAAAGTAGTATTCGTTGCATCACTAGTATTCACGATCAAAGTAGTCACGCAAACGAATCACAAACTCGGGAGATTCGCTATTCAAAACAGTTTTTCTGGTTCTTTTTGGCATTGTAAGAACAAAAAGTGTCACGAAAATATTTGGCAGTGCAACACTTGTATATGCGTTTCTTCTTGTGTAGTAACAAAAATGATCTTGTTCGATAAATGTCGAATAATGATAATAAATTATAATGAGTATTATAATATCCGAAATTATTTTATTTCCATTTTCGTGACAGCCCCCAGTAAAAACGCTGGCCGCGTTAATACCTACGCCGATAATATATACGCCGATAATACTGTGATAATACATATTGATTATAGCCATGTCCGGCATGCGTCGTAAAACCACTTTGCATTATGGTTATAGCACGAATGGATCGGTTCCACCAGAGTACGACCACGCTCTCACAGAATACCAGCGTAAAATAACAGCCTAATGTTGCTGTGTTTCGTGTGTTGAGTGTAGAGAACCGGAGACCCGTTTTACTGAAAACGGGGCATTCCATCTTAGTTCTCAGGGGTGGCAACGCATCTATAATTTGATTCTTAATTGAGGATAACTGTAGATGTCTATGGGATACAGCATCCACACAGTGCACCTGGTAAACTGTGTGCTCGTTTATCACTTTTACTCTGTAAAAATGCTTTTTTGTCGAACACATTACGAGCGCGCTTACATCAACTTACCATAATTTATAAGTATATAGTAATCGGGTGAATGGTATCTAATAGGTAGGAAACGCATACGGGGCATACAAATAAGCATTCATTTTTATTCAGAAATCAGGCACATATTTAAAGTTGTGAAAAATACCAAAATAGCTTAACACAACCCTAATCTAATTAATGGCAGGATCTAATAAGCCACGGATCACGTCCAGGATGCACAGTGACGACAGGCCTGAGTAATCGCGCCATTGTTCTGTAATGAATGCTAGTTTGTTTTACGCCTTATTGTATCCGATCGCTGCTGAACTATGACGTTAGGTGCCAGTCTTATTTATTCTATCGCTCTTTTTATATTTCAAAGGACTCAATGTTTTAAATGTTACTCATGTACTTAGTATTCACTATCTACTATCCTTTTAGGACTTCGAGTTATTTTTTTTTACGTGGTAGAGCTACGCTGCAGCTATTATGATTGCAGCATGAATGGGTCGGCTCGACCGGGGAAGGACCACGCTCTTACAGAATACCAGCGTAAAATAGCAGCTTAATGCAGCTGTGTTTCGTACGATGAGCGTAGAGAACCGAAGACCCGTTTTACTGGAATCGAGGTATTCCATCTTAGTCCTCAAGGGTGACAACGCATCTGCATTTTGGTTCTTAATCGAGGTTAAATGTAGGTGTCTATGGGCCACAGCATCCACTTACCATCAGGTGGACTGTGTGCTCGTTTTATGACAATTGATCACATATTTTTACTTTTACTAATTAACTTCCCGCTAAGAAAATTGAAAATTTTCAAAAATAGGGAAGTTATTGGTTTCACACCGATTTCCGAAAATCCCAGGAAGGTATTCAGACTAATTTCACGTGGACGTCCGTACAGATGTATATGTGTATGTATATGTATATAAGTATGTAAACCTTACATAACTTTTGAACGTCATGATCGATTGAGATGCGGTTGCCTTGGCTTGATAATATGAACTGATTCGAACGAGTAGATTTTGAGAAATCTCAAAATAAAAAATTTTAAACACTGTTTTTTTAGAATAACTTTTAAACGGCTTTACCGATCTAATCTGGTCTTAACCTCAAAAAATGACATCGAACGCCGTTTGGAAAATAAAAATCGGTTCATTCGTTCGTGAGATATCGAAGAAGAAAGAATTTGAAAAAAAAAAACGTTTTGTTTTAACATAACTTCGAGATTTCGCAACGTAATTTGGTGAAATTTGGAATGCTTTGCATTTGAAATTATATATATTTTTAGATAATACATAAATATGTCATGTGGTAAATATAATTTAAATGAGTGATTATTTTGTATAACCTATAAATTATACAAAATAATCACTCACACTATTCCGATGATATCCCGGACGTCAGTCTGAGCGAGATTAGAATGGCTCTCCAGCACCTTAAAAACGGCAGGGCCCCAGGCGAGGATGGAATTACAGCGGAGCATCTGGAACACCGGTACTTGAAGTCCTTCAGAAGCTCTTCAGTTCCGTCCTCCATGGTGGCACTACTCCGGAGGCGTAGAGCAGAATTGTGGTGGTCTTGTTCTTTAAGAAAGGCGACAACGCTCTCTTGAAGAACTACAGACCGATTTCCCTTCTGAGCCGCGTCTACGTGCTGTTTTCGAGAGTCATTACGAATCGTCTCGCACGCAGACTCGACGACTTCCAGCCTCCCGAATAAGCCGGTTTCCGAAAAGGCTTCAATACCATAGACCACATACATACCCTGCGGCAGATTGTATTGTACAGAAGACCGAAGAGTACAATCTGCCACTTTGCCTGGCATATGTGGACTATGAGAAAGCCTTTGATTCTGTCGAAATTTGGGCGGTGCTACAGTCCCTTCAGCAGTGCCAAGTTGACTGTCGGTATATCGAAGTGCTGAAGTGTTTGTACAGTAGGGCTACGATGGCTACCTAAGTACAGAACCAGAGTTCGAGACCTGTTCAACTGCAGAGAGGTGTAAGACAGGGTGACGTTATATCCCCGAAACAACCGCTGCGTTGGAAGACGTTTTCAAGCTACTGGACTGGAAAGGATACGGTATTAACATCAATGGCGAGTACATCACTCACCTTCGATTTGCCGACGATATAGTCCTTATGGCAGAATCGCTGGATGACCTTAGCACTAAGCTCAATGACCTCAATGTTGTCTCTCAACGGATAGGTTTTAAGATGAACATGGACAAAATAAAGATCATGTTTAATGTCCATGTCACACCTATGCCGGTAGTTGTTGGGAGCACTAAGCTCGAAGTTGTTGACGAGTACGTTTACCTGGGACAAATAGTCCGACTAGGTAAGTCCAACTTGGACCGAGAGGTCAATCGATAGATTCAACTCGGCTGGGCAGCGTTCGGGAAATTACGACATATCTTCTCGTCAGGTATACCTCAATCTCTGAAAATTACTTAAATACACTTCCTCTCTCCTAGCCCATAAATTGCGTGCCTAACAGGGTCCATAACACTGGTCTTACATTATTTTATAATATCTTATGTACATTATGGTTTAGCAATAAATGTTTGAGTTTTAGCTTGAGAAATTAGCGGGAAGTTCCAGGGATGGCCTGCAAGGTCAACCAATATTTTTTTTAAGTAATCGTGATCAGCACGTATGGGACGGCTCGATCCCAGACAGGAGGACCACACTCGCATAGAGTACCAGATTAAAGTATGAGCATAAGTGTTTTGTAGGTTAGAACGAGAAAAGATTGCCGCTGTGTTTCGTATAGTAAGTATAGAGAACCGGAAACTAGTTTTAGACTTTAGGAATAATAAAGCATTCAAAATTTGATTTTTAATCGAAAATAGTTGCAGGTGTTTAATCTCTATGGGCCACAGCATCCACCTAACATCTATTTACCATTAGTTGGACTATCTGTTCGTGTAAAAAAAAGAACCGGGCACACTTTGTCGGTGTCAAGTGGTTACAGTGCAAACTTAATATATAATCAAGTAAGGATGTAATTAGGATTTGATTGATGATGATTTTTTACGGGGCTATTATCTGTAAAAATACTTTAGATGTTAAAAAATTAAAACAAAAAAGTTCCCGGGAATAACCACAGGAATAATTTGTCTGCCAGATCCAGATATTTTGTCTTATTTGTTTCAGTATTCGTAACGTTTTCGTCATAAGGATAATGGCGACCAAAAATATCCTTATCTGTGCTAGGTCTTATTATAATTTGTGTAGTCTAATGAATATCCTACACACTTCTTATTGGAATTCACAATTAAAATTCTATAATTATTTTCCAGGGCAAGTTGGTGAAGCATTTCTCCCGGCAGCTGGTGTTCAAAGCGCAGTTTGGCGGGGAGTTGCAACGGGAACTGGGTGACGTGCCTTGCCTGGCGCAATGGTTGCGAGTGGTCGGCCTCAGCCCCGAAGCTATAGAGGTTTCTAACGATTTTACTTCTGTTTCATGTTTATTATTTTTATCGCGTCATCATTGGTTCATATGTTTTTTGATTTAAGAAATAATCGTCATAAAAGCCGTATAATATAAACCGTTTTTAACCGACTTCAAAAACGGAGAAGGTATTCAATTCGATTGTATGTTTTTATGTGTTTTATCTCAGAACTTTTTTTTTGGTGAACCGATTTTGATGATTCTTGTTTTTATTTGAAAGCTGTTGCCTCTCGCGGGGTCGCTTATACATTTGATCAAAATCTAACCAGTAGTTTTTGAGTTTATATAATTGTCTTCGAATACATTGATTCGGTAGTATTAAAGTCGGTTGTACAAAATTTTAAATTTTACCTGTGTATTAAATGTCCCGTTGAATACAGTATGATAATGATTGTTGTACTGTTTTCAATTCCAAAAACTTTGTGGTCAAAACCAGTATTGAATATACTAACTTTTCCTATATTAACTTATTGTTAGTATATTAATTGTTTATTGTTAATAATGGTTTAGTGGTCGTTAGCGCGACTGCTGTACATGGGGTACCAGTTCGAATTGGGCCAAAATCATTCAGAATTCAGAAGAAAAATCATTCATCAGTTGTTTGGTTTTTTTCTGTCCTCGGCTTAGAGACCTTTTTTTTACTGCAAAAGAGGATTTTATTTTTTATGATTTTAATTTTATAGATTTCACTGAATACGAATTTTCGGTCGAACTTTATTCGGCAGGATCACCTCGGTACATAACCAATTTTAGTCAAAACTTGTTACCGTAAAGTGCGCGGGATTAGCGCCTGACCCTGCCGATTGCTCCCCCGCCACACTTTATTTAGTACTGATCAAATTACCTGTACATGCTTATGTTTTGACAATTTTTGTGAGCAAAAAAAAGTAATTCCTAGTGTTGTTCTTAATGAAAATGGATAATTATGTAATAAAAATGAGTGGCAGGAGATATACCATTTGGACTGATAAAGTGAAATGTACTAATGTAATACAATATTTATTAGTTTTATTACAAAAAAAAAATATCAAGCTTCTATTTGCTATAATTGGAAATAAATCTACAGTGCCTCTAAAACATAATACTATACAAGTAGATTTAACCCATAAATAAAATATTCTTTCAACAGTAAAATTATGAAAGACATGGCATTACTCAATTCGTTCATTTAAATACAGTGGACACTTTCGAGTACCGCTTTAACGAATATTCGGTGATTTAGCCGAATACGAATATTCGGTAAAGTTGCCGAATATGCCGAATACCGAATATAAAACGAATATTCGACCCATTCCTAGAAAAGAGGCATTCCATCTTAGTTCTCAGGGGTGACAACGCATCTGCATTTTGTTTCTTAATCGAGGATAAATATAGATGTCTATGGGCCTCAGCATCCACTTACCATCAAGTGGACTGTGTGCTCGTTTGTCACCCTTACTCTATAAAAAAAAGTTTCCCATGCCTCGGAAACACGTAAAACCGTTGATCGTGCGCCTGATCTCTTTCCGGTCGTGTCGGATTGCCGTCCAATCAAACTATCGGATTGTGGGAATAGATAGTGCATCTGTGCCTGCGCACGTAATCCTGTCCTGCGCGGATGGGTAGTCTTTGTTGAGACTTGCTGTGTTTGCCGAAATTCGTTCTGAAAGAAAATACTTATTGTTAACAATAGATCGGTATTAGTCCGTTTCTTTATTTTTAATAAAATAAGTCTATTCAATACCCACTTTGATATTTATACGTGTGTTATGCATTTATTTATAGAGTAAGGGTGACAAGCGAGCACAAAGCCTAAATTATGGCAAGTAGATGCTGTGGCCCTTAGACATCTATATCTATTACTTGGTTATAAATCAAAATTCAGGTGCGTTTAAAGCTTGTAAAGTTTATTGTTTTGTGCAGGGCGTGTCATCCCTGATGACTAAGATGGAATGCCACGTATCCAGTAAAAAAGTGCCCCGATTCACTACACTATTCGACACACAGCACTAATGTGCTACTATTTTACGCTGGTATTCTTGTGACCATTCGACCTTTCTGTATCATTTGTTACGGCCCTGAGTTACCCCGACAAAGGTCAATTGAGCTAGGGCCCACAGTAACCCAATTCGATGAGTAACAGAGGGGAGGGTCCAATGACCTATGGATAATTAAATTATAACGGCTAGATACGCAAACACAAAACTTACCGAATTTCAGAAGTGTAGGGTCTACCACAAGGTGGCGTCAGGGGCAAGTAAATGGTAGTGTGAGTGTAGTGTAGGAAGGTGTGTCTAGTGTAACCTGACGTCACCGATACAATCAGATAGCAGCACCACGTGCGCCGACCGCTCCACAAGACGCCCACCGCTATCGGAACTCAAGTCTAGCGTCACTTAGCATGAACTATAATCGCGCGCGATCTACATCCGGATCACAAAGTTCAGCGTTCCACACGAAAGCAAAATTCCTTCGTACAATTTAACCTAATTTATTTTAACTTTAATTAGCTACACAAGTCACTCGTCGATGCAAATTAATGGCAATCTAAGTTAATTCAATAATTCAAAATCAAAAAGCCTCGTTGTCACGTATATTCACGACAAAATACAACACCATGGAGGCCGTCTATAGGTGACGCAACAATTATATCAAAACTCGCGACCTCTAAATCGACCCGGTCGTCGCGCAAATCGAATGTTCTAGGCTAATCTTCTTTATTTAAAAAAAAATCTCGCGAACCCCACCGGCGCCGTCTCACCGCTCAAAGATTCCTGCCGACTGGGACGCTGGCAGCACCGTACGTGCACAGCAAGCCCCCCCCCCCCTTCCAGCGCGACGCTAACCGGTTCCTCACCCGGGACGCGCCTTGTAAGCCGCAGCTTGTAACAATCGAGCGCAAACACCATTGAATAATCTCATTAAAATATCCCTCCTCCCACAGGCGATATGCTCTCGTGTGGCGTCCTTAGAGGCGCTTCGCGAGCGTTCAGACCACGAACTACGAGCGTTGCTGGTGGCGGCTCGCGACGAGGAGCTGCGCCGGCTCTGTCGAGCGATGCAGCGGCTACGCACTTACACCGGTGAGTCAATTAGGGCTTGTAACCTTAGAGGCGCTTCGCGAGCGTTCAGACCACGAACTACGAGCATTGCTGGTGGCGGCTGGCGACGAGGAGCTGCGCCGGCTCTGTCGAGTGATGCAGCGGCTACGCACTTACACCGGTGAGTCAATGAGGGCTTGTAACCTTAGAGGCGCTTCGCGAGCGTTCAGACCACGAACTACGAGCGTTGCTGGTGGCGGCTGGCGACGAGGAGCTGCGCCGGCTCTGTCGAGCGATGCAGCGGCTACGTACTTACACCGGTGAGTCAATGAGGGTTTGTAATCTTACGCCCACCAGATGTCACCAGTTGCGACTGAGGTGAAGTTTTTTTTTTAATTTTTTAAGCCAGCACTTAGCTTCAATCCCACCTGATGGTAAGTGGTGATGTAGCTTAAGATGGTAAAGCGCACTGACTTAACAAAAACCTATTCACTCTTGCCTTGAAGACTGCTGACCCACTGTACGCATGACGAACAACGTAGCAAACCGTTTGGTTCGAATGCGTGGTAAGTCAACAACGAAAGGGTAGAGACTGACCGAACGTCTGGTTGTCCGATGGTGGAAGAGAGAGGGAGGAATTAAATTATACAATTCCTGCGCACACTCTCCGAAATGCATCCTGTAGAAGACCGAAAGGCTGGCGACTTTACGCCGGTATTCGAGGCTCGTAAGATTGGTTTCAATCAAATTCGGGTCACTAATATCGGGCCGCTAGGTCGAATTTTGCAGAACCAGCCCATATATGGCAGCAATACTCCATGCAAGACCGGACTTGGGCTTTATATAAAGTAAGCATCTGTCCCGGCGTGAAGTATCGCCGCACCTTTGCAAGGACTCCTAGCCTCTTTGCAGCCGCTTTGGCATTGGACTCAATGAACCGTCCGAAGTTCAGATTTGAGGATATCTCAACCCCCAGCAACTGGAGGCGGTCGGTGTATGTCGGAAAGAAGGAGCCAAAGTGATCTGGCTCCTTTTTGCAGTGAAAAGACACGCTTGTGTTTTGGAGGCGTTGCATTTCACAAGATTAGCATCGCCCCATTCGGATACTGCCTGTAGTGTGAGATTCACACGCTCTACCGTAGCTGACTGTCGGACTGGATTTGATCCCGACTGGCCCGAGGACCTGGTTGGTATCTCTCCACAACTGTGCTGTCGTCTGCGTACCCACAGATATCGGGCATAAGCGAACCATTTATATGCAGCAGGAAGAGAGTTGCGGAGAGAACGGACCCCTGAGGAACACCGGCATTAGTTGTCACTGGATCGGATGAGCAGCCATCGACGACGATGAGAGACCGTATTTGTTATACAAACTTATCTTAATTGAGAAATTGCGTTTTAAATAAGAGTTTATCGGTATATATATTATGTAAATAAACAAAAGAATGCCTCTGCCGCTTGCTATTTAATTTTTTGCACATTTTAAAACTTGTTTTTTTTTTTTGTAGGATAGGCTGACAAACGAGCACACCGTCCACCTGATGGTGTTTGCTGTGGTCCATAGACATCTACATCTATCCTTGAATACGAATCAATATGCAGGTGCGTTGTCGCCCCTGAGGACTAAGAGGGAATGCCCCTTTTAAAGTAAAAGGGTTCTCTACACTTACCATACGAAACACAGCAGCATTACGCTACTATTTCACGCTGGTATTCTGTGAGAGCGTGATCCTTCCCCGTTCGGGCAGACGGGATATAAAAGTAAAAAAGAAATTAAAATTATATTAATTAGAAATGAATACATTTTATACATATTTATAACTATTTATCTTAACTTTCCATGAAATCGGTCATTTATTTTATCTCACCTTACCTAGTGGCGCCGCCCTGGTGACAGAAAAAGTCATGGGTTTTCATATAGATAAAATTGAAGTACAGTGTATCCCCGGTAATCCGGCCCCTCTCTAATCCGGCCCTTGTCTAATCTAGCACCCCCTATAATTCGACATTGTCTATTATTTATTATTGAATATTTTTTAACAATCTTCGATAATGCATAATTTAACAAGTTATAACTTGTACGCAATACCACTATTGTGCTCGACGCGTAGGGTATTGTTTTGATTCTGATTGTTTAGTTTGAATTGAAGAAATTTGAAGACGTCATGAAGTATGATTTGAACTTCGGAGTATATAATATAATATATAGAATCTTATCATTGGATCTGAAATATGTCGGATTACAAGGTACTCTTTTGTTAAAAAATTCCGGACTATAGGGGTCTTAGGCGGTACTTTATAATCCGACAAATTCGATAGTCCGAAACTGCCCTGCAAAATGTTTGTCGGATTACCGCGGGTCCACTGAATCTCTTTGTAATATCGAAATAACTGCCTTTATTGAGTTGAGCGGGTAGTTTGCATGCCATTAAGACATGAATAAAACCATTTTTAAAATGTTTATCTGTCTGTCTTTCCGCCGGGTTAATTTTCTGAGTGACTGATTACAGTGTAATGAAACTTCACGAACAAATTGAGAGCAGGGCCTGGAGTGATATAGGCTACATTTTATCCGGAAAACTTGGAACTGCTTTTTGTTAAAAAGGAACAATGTGATAAAGCCACTTAATATTGGATTGTCTTAAAAATAAAAAAAATGTCACATTAATAGTACTATACAGGCGTAGCGAGTGCGGATCGCTAATGCAGCAATAAAAATACATCAAATATATAATAGAAGTAGAACTACAATATTAAATACATTATATGCAACAGGTCCTATCACTCTAAAAGTTCTCAGACAAACTTAATACTACGACTGAACACTTATTTTGTGCTACCTTTCCCTCTATTGTTTGTAATATAAATATAATAAAGTCGTATTTCCATCTGTAGAAGCGCTGGCGCGAGGTGAGGGTGCGGCTGAGCTGCCTTTGTACTGGGACTCCTGGGAGCGACACGCTCGCTCCTCTCCGAGACCCAGGAAAGGTTTGTACTATCATAAAGCATAAATTATTTATCAATTATTTCATTCTGATAAAGTGAGAAATTTCGTAACAAAAGAAGAGTGCAGTTTGCAAGATCTTGTGACCAGGATTAACAAAAGAATGCTTCGTTTGTAGACATAAGAAGAATAATTGAGGAAAAGGCAAATTTATATAAATTTATATAGACAGAGTCGGGAAAAGACACCCTGGATTCAAACTAGATGACTAAATAGGCAATAATGACTTGACATGCATTTGGAATTAGTTCCAAGTAATTTAAACTAGAAAATAAGACAGTAGAGGTAATCTCTAGCTATTTATAATTAAAAAAATAGGCTTCTAATAAAATTAAAATGACATGGAGTATAATAATAGTGAAATTGGTAAGGTCAACTCTCGCAATTCAGTTTATTTTTCAACTACCAGTTAAATTTTAACAAGAAAATAACTAAATCAAATCAGGATGTTTCAATGGTTATTGAGAAATATTTATTCCGATCTTAACCACTAAGTGTCTGAATCATTACTTAAACGAAATATAAATGCGTGTACAATTACAAAGAATTTTACATTTCATAAAGTATCATCAAAATATATTGTAAAATATTTCAAAACTATTGATATTTAAAAAAAAACTGCAGATCTGTTGTGGATTTCCGTTAAATTCGTCTATAATAGATAAAATCGCACCTCACCTTGCTAATATTTTTAATACTAGTATCGAATCTGGTGTGTTTCCTGATTTAATGAAGCATAGTAAAGTAATACCTTTATTTCAATCTGGCAGTACATTGAACCCCACCAATTTTAGACCTATTTCTGTACTGCCAACAATTATTTTAATGTAAATAATTTATTACATAACTGAATTGATTTAATTCGGTTTCACAAGGCATGGAGGAATTCACAGGATGCTTTGGGTGTATTCTATGACTTATCCAAGGCATTCGATTATGTTCGCCGTGAAACATTAATCAGGAAACGGTGTAAGAAGTGATGCTTTGAATTTAATTATTTCATATTTAAATAACAGAACCAAAAAAGTTGTCATTGATAGATGAGTTCTTTGGGGTCGATAGTACAAATAGGCGTGCCTCAGGCCTCAATTCTAGGCCCCTTCATGTTTCTTGTATATATTAATGACTTACCTTACATAGTATGGGAAAACCCATGATATAGTAATATTTGCTGATGACACTTCATTGATTTTCAAATTAAAATGACAGTTATTAAATTATGATGATGTGTATAATGCTATATCTAAATTAGTAAATTGGTTTAATGTTAATAATTTCCATTTAAATAACACTAAAACTAAATTTATGAAAGTCATAACTCCAAATGTCAAACATATTAATACTGCTGTAATTTTAAATGAGGAGAAACTGAGTCTTGTCAATACCACAATTTTTCTTGGAATCACACTAGATGCAAAGCTTCAATGAGACACTCATATATCAAAACTAGCAAGCAGACTTAGTTCTGCAGCATTTTCTGTACAAAACTAGTAGACTAGTTTACTTTAGCAATTTCCATAGCATAATATAGTATAGTATTTTGCTATGGGGACATGTGACAGACACTGAAATTACTTTTGTTTTATAGAAGAGGGCCGTTAGAGGAATCTATGATTTATAATCTTAAGTGTCCCTCAGACAAAAATATAGGGAAATATACGAAACTTGACCCGCACAAAGTTCAAAAACTTACTAAACTAAGTTTGTTTAAAAATATTATTATAATATTAAGGAATTTATGGATGATAATAACCCCTGGGAAAGGTGATCGCTACCAAGCTATTTCTAATTTGTTTTGTGTTGTTAATTGTAACATGCATGATTGTAAGCAGTTATTTGGAAAAAAAAGTCCAGTTGGGTTTCTTACTGGTTCTTCTCAGGACAGAGGTTTTTTTCCGAACTAGTGCTAAATAAAAAAAAGTGACTCAATAAGTATTATTTATAATCTATATTTAAAAAATAATTTTTGTTTCAAAAATTTTGAAGATGTACAAAATAACAAGTACCCTAGACCGACGAGCATGTATGTATGTGAAAGAAGCGAGAGAAGTGTGTCATGATTATGCCAATTGGAAGTCCGTAAACTCTGGTTACTTATCTGCGTAAGTGGAGTGAGAGTGTTAGATGATGTGTGAGAGATGTTAAGTTCATTGTCAGTTATCGGTCAAGAAAACAGCTCACTCACAGACAATGCAGGTGTAAGACAGAATAAAAGTTGCAAATGTAAACCAATATGCAAGTGTTCCTTGTCATTAACTATTTACTGTAACAAAAAAATATAATTTTTCTATCGAGTTAGTAAAAAAGCCTTCTAAAGGCAGATTTGCAATATGTAGAGCAACTGTTTAGGCCATATAATGCCTACAATTTAGTGCTTCCTTTACTTGCTTGTCACTCTTACTTGCAAGTATAAAAAACTAACAGTTGCCATCCCTATTAAAAATAACTTTGCGGACACACACACACACACCACGCGCGCGCGCGCACACACACACACACACACACACACACACACACACACACACACACACACACACACACACACACATTTTAGTAAGACTTTATAATTTTAAAAATTTATTTAAATGTTTCAGGCGGCAAGTCACCTACAACACCAGTAAGCAAACGGAAGCAAAACTCCCACCTGCCGGCACCCGCCGCCTTGACGAAGTCTCGCTCTCACGAATCCCAGTTGTCTGTGAGGCCTGATGCCTCCGATCTTAGGTAACTGGCATTTCTTATGATTTCACTAAAATTGACATCGACACAGAAACAATGGAATTTATATTTACAGCTATTAAGTCATTTTGCTCCCTTCCCCTCTATATATATCTGTAAGAATTTTAAAATATGCATAACAAATACATAATTGATTTTTCTACAAGACTGCATCAAAGGCGCTAGACGTCTGATATTGCAATCGTCAATTCGCTTGTCAAGCACGACAAGGCATATATTCGACCTACAATAGGAGAGGCTCATATCAAGCTGTACACTTTTATGGGCTGATGATGGTGATGATGACACCTAGAAATAGAAAATTAACATAGCTGTGTTTCGTATGGCAACTGTGTGACAATACATCTGTATTTTGATTCTTAATCGAAGATAAGTATAGATGTCTATGGGCCACAGCATCCACCAGGTGTATCTTACTCGTTTGTCACCTTTATTCTATCAAAGTTTACTGCAATTGCTATCCGCCTTCCGAGCAGGACGATAAGGTAAATCCTCTATAAAATGGGACAGGCTCATGCCAGTTGTTGATTTTTATGGGTTGTTATAGCAAATACAAAATATTGAGCATCTTTTATAGAATAATAATAATAAATAACATAACATAACATAAACACTCACGCCTGTTATCCAGAGGGGTAGGCAGAGACTACAGATTTCCATTTGGCACGATCCTGACACACTTCTCTCGCCTCCTTCACATCCATACACCTACGCATACATACTCGTTGGTTAAGGGTACTCCTAATTTGGCCCGTTTCCAATAAATCGCCAATTTGGTCGATAAATTTTCGCCTAGGACGTCCCTTTCCGACTCTGCCATTCACTTCTGCAACATAAATTTTCTTTGTCACTCTTTCCTCATTCATTCTTTCCACATGACCAAACCACCGAAGCATTCCTTTCTTAATCCTGGTCACAACATCATCTTGCAAACCACACTCTTCTCTTATTACATAATTTCTTACCCTGTCATTCAGATTCAGCCCTAACATACTCCTTAACGACCGCATTTCTACTGCGTTTATTCTACTCTCGTGCTTCTTCTGCCACACCCAACTTTCACTACCATACGTTAAAGTAGGAACCAACACAGCATTGTGAATTGCCATACGTGCCTTTTTCGACACATTTTGACTTCACAATAGAGTGCAAGGCCCCATTTACTCTATTTCCCGCATTCACTCGTCGTTCTATATAATAATAAATAATTATAATAATTTATCAGGCTTTCGCATTTTGACAAAGTACACTTGTGTATAGTACCTGTTTAATTACAAAACCACATTTCAAAGCAGTTTGCGTTAACAGCCATACTAGAATAAACTGTTACACAGCTGTCGGTATATTCCCCCTAAGTTGTGATGAGGATGATTCTCATACTACTATATGTATGGTTGGTTGCAGCGATAACAGCCAGTCGTCAGCGCGTGACGGTACGGAGGGCGCGGAGGGCAGTCCGCCCGCGTCGCCGCGCGACCAGTCCGAGGGCACGCCGCAGCGCAGCGCGCACCCCCCGCCCCCACCGCCCGTACACTACAACAACGTAGTGAGTGCACACGTACAAATACGCACTTGAATGTTCATGCACACATTATAATCAACTTTTCAATACCCATGAAAGCAATAGATTTTCAGACAGCCACCATACAGGAAGATTAAAGATATCCGTCACTTAAATACATAATAATGTATATAAAAAATAACCAAAAGAAAATCGATCCCAATGAAGAAAAAAAATCTTTTTTTACGTTTCATTAGCTTTATTCACGGTCTATCTATCATTTTAATACAGCTAAATGAAAGGATAATTTCATTAAAAAAATCATGAAAATGTTTAAACATAAAACTAGCCGTGTTTCAAATACCTAACATCAGCTGATAAGGGGTCAATATACGCGAGACCACAGCGAGGCGACGCGAGTCGGCCGAGCGGCGTCAGCGCGTGTGTGAAAGGGAGCGATATAGATATAGTGAGCGAAGTATAGTAATACCTACTGCATTCTTTCGTACGGAGCTAGATAAAAGAGTTCAGCGTCCGCGCATTTATTGACCCTATAATTAGCTGGTACCATTTTAATTTTCACTGCTGGTTTTATTTTTCAATATTTTCATGAAATTTTTTATGAAATTATTTTTTCATTTAGCTGTACTAACTATTTAGAAAACTAAACTAAAAATTTAGAAGAGGAAAGAGGTAGCGAGATAAGTATAGATGAAATAATGAAAGCAATGAAAAGCATGAAAGCAGGTAAGGCTGCCGGATATGATAGAGTTTCACTGGAAATGCTAAGAGCTGGAGAGGAAGTGGTGGCAGGCCCGCTGCACAACTTGTTTAATTTATGCTGGGAACTGAAGCGGGTACCGGTAGACTGGTGGTGATAGTCCCAATATATAAAGGAATAGAGCAGACTGTAAAAACTACCGTGGTATCAGCCTTCTTAGCATTGTGGGAAAACTTTATGCTAAGGTGCTGATTGAAAGGGTCATGAAAGAAACTGATGAACAAAATTTGGGATGTGCAAGCGGGATTTAGAAAGGGAATGGGATGTACAGATCAAGTCTTTTCCATGCGCATGATCGTGGAAAGGTTTTTGGCCAAAAACCAAAAGGTTTTTTTGTGCGTTCATGGACTTGGAAAAGGCCTATGACAGAGTGGACAGGGATGTGCTGTGGTAAACAATGAACTCATTTGGGTTGAACGCTGGCTTGATACAGGCATTGGAGTCGCTTTATAAGGACTAGTGCTTGTGTTGGGATCAACGGGGTCCACTTGGACTGGTTTGGCATCCATAAAGGTGTCAGACAGGGCTGTGTGGCTTCCCCGTGGCTGTTCAACCTATTTATGGACAGTTGTTTGCAAAATTTGAAAGTTGAAGAATGCGGATTAAGAATGGGTGAGTTAACCGTCAAATGCCTTTTGTACACCGATGATCAAGTTATCCTTGCGTCGTCGGCGGCCGAGTTGCAAATGATGGTTACATTAATGAACAGATCATTAAAAGAAAGGGGTATGAAAGTGAACGCAAGTAAGGCGAAAGTGATGGTTTTTGAAAGAGAAGAAAGTAAGACGATATGTGAATAAGAATAGAAGGGGAGTTGATCGAGCAAGATGAGTTTGTATATCTGGGTTGCGTATTTAGCAGGGATGGGAGATGTGATAAGGATATAGAACGACGAGTGAATGCAGGAAATAGAGTAAATGGGGCCCTATACTCTATTGTGAAGAGTCAAAATGTGTCGAAAAAGGCATGTTTGGCAATTCACAATGCTGTGTTCGTCCTTACTTTAACTTATGGTAGTGAAAGTTGGGTGTGCCAGAAGAAGCACGACAGTAGAATGAACGCAGTAGAAATGCGGTCGCTAAGGAGTATGTTAGGGCTGAATCTGAATGACAGGGTAAGAAATTGTGTGATAAGAGAAGAGTGTGGTCTGCAAGATGATTTTGTAACTAGGATTAAGAAAGGAATGCTTCGGTGGTTTGGTTATATGGAAAGAATGAATGAGGAAAGAGTGACAAAGAAAATTTATGTTGCAGAAGTGAATGGCAGAGTCGAAAAGGGACGTCCTGGGCGAAAATTTATCGACCAAATTGGCGATTTATTGAAAACGGGCCAAATTAGGAGTACCCTTAACCGACGAGCATGTATGCGTAGGTATATGGATGTGAAGGAGGCGAGAGAGGTTTGTCAGGATCGTGCCAAATGGAAGTCTGTAGTCTCTGCCTACCCCTCTGGGTGACAGGCGTGAGTGTTTATGTTATGTTATGTCTGTACTAACATGATGGAACGTAAATAAAGCTAATAAAACATTGTTAAAAGATGATTTTTTTTCATTGGGATTTATTTTGTTTTAGTTCCAAGTCCGAAGGTATTGTTGATACTATCATCAGGCTTTGTTTTCTAGAGCATTTCAAAAATACCCTGTATAAAACGCTGGTGATATTATTTAGATGAAATAGGAAATGGATGCTCTCCAAGTCCTACCACGGGGTTTGATCATGTAAAACATCCTACGATTTAAACTTCCACGATTCGGAATTGGGGATGGTTTCTCACAGGCTACTAACGCAATATATTTTAACTAATATACTGGCTAACTTTTTTACCATCTGAAAAATAATATAGTGTTTTGTGTTAGTGGAATAGAAGCTATCTTCGAAAGTATTTGTACAATATAACATAGACACGTTTTATACGTGGTAGAGCCATGCTGCAGTTATATTAGTAGTATAGTTGTAGTACGAATAGGTCGGCTCGACCGGGGAAGGACCACGCTCTCACAGCTGTACCAGACTTCGGTGTATTTCGCTTGCGCCGCCACAGAGGCATTCCATCTAAGTCCTCACGAAATACACCGAAGTCTAAATCACGCTATCAAAATTCCGAATCATACACAGTATATATAGAACATCTCCGAACTATCACACGGAGTGTTGGCCGCTCCCCGGCAGAACACCTTGCCCGGCGGGAGATCTCCCCTTTTTACGCTGGTATTCTGCTAGCTTTACTGGAAACGAGGTGAGGCGCGATGACAGCGCCGCCACATTATTGAAGTTTCCGAAGGCTGTTGGTTGCGTGTTCATATCACGTCGGGGTCACCACTGTGGCCGTAGAAGGAAAAGGGGAGATCTACCGCCGGGCAAGGTGTTCTGCCCGGGGAGCGGCCAACACAACAGATGTTCTATATATACTGTTTATGATTCGGAATTTTGATAGCGTGATTTAGACTTCGGTGTATTTCGCTTGCGCCGCCACAGAGGCATTCCATCTAAGTCCTCACGAAATACACCGAAGTCTAAATCACGCTATCAAAATTCCGAATCATACACAGTATATATAGAACATCTCCGAACTATCACACGGAGTGTTGGCCGCTCCCCGGCAGAACACCTTGCCCGGCGGGAGATCTCCCCTTTTCCTTCTACGGCCACACTCCTTATTATATCAGCTATCTGCCAGTGAAAGTCCCGTCATAATCGATCCAGCCGTTTCGAAAATTAGCCAGAACAGACAAAGAAAAAATTTTATAATTGTTTTTGTTATAAGTACCATATATACTTTACTTACAAATTATCTCAAATAAATATGCATTGGCTCAGGTTGAGATAAAAGAACACATATTGGCCATGAATGATCTGGTAAAGTCATGTAAATACAATGAGGAGCGCTTTGACTCCTTAATAAAACATCAGAGTGAGAATCAACGCTCTTATACCATGTTCATCAGAGACAATATGTGTAAATAGCAATGACTCCTTATTTTCACCAACACTCTATGACGGTGCCATAACAAAGAATAAAAACTTAAAAAGTAGTTTAAATATTAAAAACATAAAATTATTATGTATTGTGATGACATAGGTAAACATTTGGGCATGATGTTAAATAACCATTTAAAAGGACAACTGTATGGTAATTATTGTATGCCTGGAGCATCCTTTAGTCATATAATGAATAAAGTTTTAACTAGTAGGTTTTGTCCTAATAGCACATTAATAATTCTTGTTGGAAGAAGAGGCAATGTAAACAAAAATCAATTATTAAAATATATTGATTACCTCAATACTTTAAATGTACATAAAATTATCTTGTTTACATTGCCTTACATACAGAGTTGGCCACAGGAGAATAAAATAAGATATGATTTAAATTTATTAATGAATAATTTATAATGTAACAATAATTTAAATTTGACATTTAATTGTAACAATTATACCAATAAAATTAGACATTAATAATTTGATTAAGAAATTTTTGACTACAGATAGGTATTACCTATCCAAATATAATTTAAGACAGATAGCAAATGTGCTATCTTATTATTTATATATTAACTCAGCCAAGGACTTGGCTACCCAGACATCTGCTCCTATTGAGCAGCATAATGATTTGACATGCAATTTGGAATCCGTTCCAAGTAATTTAAATTAGAAAATGAGACAATAGAGGTAATCAGTTATAAAAATTTAAATAATTTAGAATGTAGCTTACAAATTCTTAATAGTTGCAATTGTATGACTCCACAAAATGATAATAAATAAAAATTATTTACACCTGGTGCATCAGAATATACAAGGCATGATAGGCAAAGAGCTAGAAATTGAATTGTTCTTATATAGCAACAATATTCATATTTTATGTATTACTGAAAATTGGTTAAAAGCTCATAATTTAATGTTTAACTTCAGTAATTACGAGGTGGTCAGTTCTTTCAATAGAGAAACGGCTTTAAGAGGTGGCTCCTTAATTTTAGCTAGTAAATTATTATCATGTAAAGAACGTAAAGATATTGTGAGCCTGTTGAGCGAACTGTAGAAATGGCATGTGTTGAGTTTGTGCACCTCATTGTTGTGAGCGTTTACAGACCCCCATGTTCTTTATATGATACTTTTGAAAAATTATGGAGGAAGTTTTCGCTAAGCTTAATAAACAGAATAAATCTATTGTAATATGTGGAGACTTTAATATCAATCTCCTAGAAGCTTCCTCCACCAATATTAAATTTAGATCATTGTTTAAATCTTATGGTCTTTTTAATTTATTTTTGGAGCCAACACGTATTGCTGAATCTAGTCCAACATGTATAGATAACATTTTTGCAAATGTTAAGCCGTTAATAAATGTATAATTTAAAAATTGAGCTCTGATCACTGTGGTCAATTAGTTTCATTACCTTATGTTCACAAAAAGCAAGTAGATAAAAAAGTAGTGTTTGTTCCAGTAAATGCACATCGCTTGGTGAAGTTTAGAAGTAACATAGTAAAGAAACTTCCATTACTTTCATACCAAAATAATCCAAATTTTTTGTATGGAACATTATTTAAGCTTATTTGCAATGAATTTAATAATACTTTTACTTCTAAAACATTCTCCTTGAACAATCGCAAGGCATTTAATGAGTGGGCGACAGTAGGAGTCCATAAGAGTAGACAAAGGTTATATAAACTTTACAATGAAAGGTCATATAATCCTAGCATCGAATTTATGGAATATGTAAAAAAATATTCCAAAATATTTAAAAGAGTGTGCTCCTTAGCCAAGACATTGTATTTGAGCAACAAAATAAAGACTGCTTCTAATAAAATTAAAATGACATGGAGTATAATTAATAGTGAAACTGGTAAGCTCAACACTCACAATTCAAACTGCCAGTTAAGTTTTAACAATAAATTAACTAAATCAGATCAGGACGTTGCAATGGTTTTTGAAAAATATTTTACTGATATCTTAACCACTAAGTCACTGAATTCTTCTCCTGCCGTCGCCGAATCATTACTTAAACAAAATGTAAATGTGTGTACAAAGAATTTTACATTTCATAAAGTGTCATCAAAAGATATTGTAAAATATTTTAAGACTATTGATATTAAGAGAACCGCCGATCTGTGGGGGATTTCTGTTAAAGTTATTGCGTCTTTATTAGATACAATCGCACCTCAACTATCTATTATTTTTAATACTAGTATTGAATCTGGTGTGTTTCCTGATTTAATGAAGCATAGTAAAGTTATACCTTTATTTAAATCTGGTAGTACATTGGACGCCGCTAATTTTAGACCTATTTCTGTACTGGCAACACTTATTGAAATGATTATTTTTGAAATAATTATTCGTGATCAAATGTTAAATTTTTTTAACACGTTCATTGCCAAAGCTAAAATTGGAGTTTTCTGCTGGTGGCCCAAAACTTTTTTTTAATGAAATAACTCTTATGTACAGCAAATACTATTTACGGGTGTGTTTATGGTTTTAGTATATATATTTAATATTTTACATAATATAATTATATATCACTCGACGTCGCGTGATGGGCCATGTGGAGTGTATATTTATCTTAAGGGGCCCCATCACGCGACGTCGAGTTTTGGGATACCTTAGCACTTTTGTGCAATTATGAATTCAAATGTAATAAAATTAAATATTTTTAGTATCAATAATTTTTATTTGAATTATATGACATAAAAAATAACAAAATATCAAAGAAACATGCAACATAAAAAAATCTTCTAAATATTTTAGAGCCAGCCAGTACAATAAGTAAGTTGACCCAAAAGTTTACTAGCTAAGGTATATAAATTATAAAAATTATTCATATAGATAGAGTGGCCAACGTCCAATTTATTTTGCATCAATTTTTTAACAATTTTTTCGGTGTGGCCCTTTCCGGCTGTTTCATCTTCTGTGCTGGCAAACACGTGGAAATTTAAAATCAAGCCATCCAGTTCTGTGAGCACGTATAGTTTGATGCCATACTTGTGGCGTTTTCATTTGATGTATTGTCGGAAAAGCTTCAAGAATATCCGATTCTTGCAACAAAATACGTTTTGATTGCGCTCGCAAGGGTATCTCGTTTGATCGTTTCGTACCCCTAGAGGTTGATGATCACTCATTATAAATTTTGTTTTATTATAATTAGTATCACTTTATACTACAAAAATACGTATTATTTGTTCACAACTAACTAAAAACAAACAAGAAAGCCGTCCGGCTCGAGAGGCGACGCTAAGCGAACTAACCTGGAACTATCCAATTACGTAGCACTAAAACTATCGCATGATTCGGATGGCCACGCCCACTTTACGATAGCTTAGTCCTTTCTCTAGAGGCCCATAAAAAACACCGTTGCGATAACGCTCCGGCCCAGGCAATACGCTTCATACAAAACTTGTCGGACACTTCACGCGACGTCGCGTGAATGGCAATTAACGTGTTAATGTAAATAATTTACTTCTTAAAAATAAATTTGGTTTCACAAGGGGTCGCTCGACAACTGAAGCTGGTGTTGAGCTGATTAAATATATATTTAATGCATGGGAGAATTCACAGGATGCTTTGGGTGTATTCTGTGACCTATCCAAAGCCTTCGATTGTGTTAACCATGAAACATTAATCAGGAAAATTCAACACTACGGTGTAAAAAGCGATGCTTGTAAATTAATTATTTCATATTTAAGTGACAGAACGCAAAAAGTTGTCATTAATAGTATGAGTTCTTCCGGGTCGATTGTACAAATGAGCGTGCCTCAGGGCTCAATTCTCGGCCCTTTTCTGTTTCTTGTATATATTAATGACTTACCTTACATAGTAGGGGATAACCATGATATAGTATTATTTGCTGATGATACTTCATTAATTTTCAAATTAAAACGACAGTTATTAAATTACGACGAAGTAAATAATGCTATAGCTAAGTTAGTTAATTGGTTTAATGTTAATAATTTGCATTTGAATGGAACTAAAACTAAATGTATGAAATTCGTAACTCCTAATGTTAAACATGTCAATACTAATGTAATTTTAAATGGGGAGAAACTGAGTCTTGTTGATACCACCATTTTTTTTGGAATCACACTGGACGCAAAGCTTCAATGGCTCTCCCATATATCAAAACTAGCTAGCAGACTTAGTTCTGCAGCATATGCTGTAAAAAAAGATTAGAACTCTTACCAGTGTTGAAACAGCTAGAATAGTTTACTTTAGTTATTTCCATAGCATTATGTCTTATGGTATTTTGCTATGGGGACACGCGACTGATACTGAAATTATATTTATTTTACAGAAGAGGGCCATTAGAGCAATATATAATTTAAAACCAAAAGAGTCACTGAGACAAAAATTTAAGGAAATTAATATATTAACTCTGGCCTCTCAATACATTTATGAAAATGTAATGTACATACACAAAAATAAAAGTAGTTTTGCGAAAATATGTGATATTCATTCTGTAAATACTAGGAACAGACACAAGCTGGTAGTACCAGTTACTCGACTCCACCGAGTCAGTAATTCATTCTTGGGGCGATGTATACGCTTTTACAACAAAATCCCAGAAAATATACAAAATTTGTCATACACAAAGTTCAAAAATGTTATTAAACTAAGTTTGTATAAAAAGGGTTATTATAATATTAAGGAATTTATGGATGATAATAACCCGTGGGAAGGGTGATCGCTACCAAGCTATTTCTAATTTGTCTTGTGTTGTTAATTGTAAACATGATTGTAAGCTATTATTGGAAATTAAAGCCCCGCTGGGTTTCTTGCTGGTTCTTCCCAGGACAGAGGTATTTTTTGCTAACCAGTGGTAAATGAAAAAAGTGACTTTCAATAAGTATTGTTTACAATCTATACTGAATAAAAAAGTTTCTGTTTCTGTTTCTATCTGTTAAAAATATTTCACCTTTTTCCTAAGTGACTCTGCACTGGTGGCAAGAAAATTCCTGTATGCTCTCTTTGTGTTATCGACGGCTCCATGGCGTAGTGACTTAACAATAAGTTGCCAAGGGCCGTGGGTTCCGATCCCGCACGGAACAAGTATTTGTATGGCCTACTATTGTTCCGTGTCTGGGTGTTTGTCCTTGTGAAATTTATGTAGAGGCAGGAGAAAATCCAAGAGTGTAGATTATTTGTGATGTCATTTCATGCGTGTGCAGGGCGGGGGCGCCCCGCGGTCGCCGCGTACGCCGCGCACGCCGTTGGGGCGCTGCATGGCGCACGACATCGCGCACCGCTTCACCAAGTCCTTCAACATGATCGCCACCTGCGACTACTGCGACAAGCAGATGCTCTTCGGCTCCGGCCTCAAGTGCAAGGAGTGCAAGTTCAAATGTCACAGGTACCGTATCATCTCTCTCCTTCTTGCATCTCTACATTTGAGTCTACTCTATTGTAAGAGTTTTTGTTGTTATCGCATCATCCGGCGCAAGTTGTTTAGCGTTGTCGGAGGATGTTAAAATTTAAGCAAGTTACGTCAGTATGTATTCGTATCTGACTGAGATAAGAGCCCTCAGAAGTAACATTTGAACACCCCAAAATAACCTTCTCCCTGTGAAACTTTAATTTCGTCAAGGACATAAAACGGTATCTATGAGCGATAATGAATTTAAATCTGTTTCCAAGACAAGCGAAAAACGGGAAAAGATATTAGATAATATATAAGCGTTTACGGGAAACGATAAGTATTACGTGCCATACATTTCTTTATCGTTTACACTTCTTATCTTGTCACATAGTACAGGGTTCGGTGAGAAACGCGACCATTGAGTAATAACAAACAATCAACACTGTAGGAAATAATGTAAAGGACTGTGTGTTTATTGACAACTGTGATCTTTATTATTATTGTTTTCTGTCTCTATCAATCAAACATTTAATAGAAAGTAAAAGACTGGATATAAGAAAGATTTTCGTTAGATATACTATATTATATCTAAGGAATACGGTGTTCATAGCTACATGCAATTTCTACAGTATTAACACATTGAATATCTTTCCTTTCAGAGACTGCGAAAGTAAAGTTCCTCCGTCGTGCGGTTTACCGGCAGGATTTGTTGTTGCCTTCAAAGAAAAATTTCACAAAGATGGTAAGGTGCATTGTGTATAATGTAATGCAGATTATTTATGTTTTTTTTTTAATTTTATTAAGGAGCATTTATTCATTAATATTTCTAAAACATTGGGATACATATATGTCCAGGATACCCAAATTCAAGTTGAAAACTTTTTATTTAATTTAGGCGTGTTTGCTCTTATGGTAATCAAAATCTACACCGGTTCTCATAAACAAGCTATCAAATTCAATATTAGAACCAACGATTACCATACCATTACAAGGATAGGTATCATCCTTCTGAACATAGGTCTCCCCAATGATTGCCTCATAGGAGGGATATAATATAATAATATAATAATATTCCACAACTATCACACAACGCCATCTAGTCCCAAGCTAAGCAGAGCTTGTGTTATGGGTACTAGACAACTGATAAACATACTTATATATTTCTAAATACATAAATATTATAGATAAATTACACCCAGACACAGAACAAATGATCGTGCTCATCACACAAACATTTGTCCTGGGTGGGAATCGAACCCACGACCTCCAGCATAGCAGTCAGGGTCACTAACCACTAGACCAACAGGCCTGTCCAAATCTATCTATGATATCTGCTACTTGTTTGATTTCTTGTTTGTTGCTCCGCCTGGCAAACAGGTTGGCAACCTTTTTTAATTCAGCTATTATCAGTAAGATGATGCTGTCCATCTCCAGGTTCACTATCCTTCGAGTGAGAGGCGATCTCTTACGACACCTACGGGAAATGGTTTGAATATGTGATAAACATGGTTTTGTGAATAAAGCTTTTTTTAAAAGAAAACGTTGGTTAACTAATTGGAGATTCTACACCATTATATTGTATCCTATAGATTTAACTATAGATTTCCTTAACTTAGAACTAGAATTAACTTAGAACTTATATTTGTAGAGTATTTAAAAGTACATAAATTCGATAATCATTGACTATAAAAACGATGACGTCATTACGCTATGCCTTGGTACATTCTCAAAAAAAAAACTTATCATTATCGAATTAAAGCTTCTAAAAAATTTTTCTTTGAAAATTAATACTTAACGTATGTTATGGTTTATTATTAATATCAAATACTACATGAATGATACAGATCTTATCACGTTTAATTTTCCTTTTGTATATAGGAAGAATATCAAAAACAATTAAATTCGTAAAATTAGTTTCATTCGTCATTCAACTTTATAATAAAATTCCGGTCACGGCGGTCAATCTCAATGGAGAATAGCCAGTCTACAGGACAGGATTATAAAGCCCGAGTGTATGCGCAAGCACAGGTGTGCACTGTCATTCTCTCACTTTTATAATTCGATGGGATGGCAAACCAACTCGACCGGAGAGCAGGACCAATGACTATACGTGCTTTTCAAGGTATAGGTTTAAAACACCGCTAAATTCCTGACTCCGGGCAGCTACTGTAAAACTCAATTACTGATTTTTTTTTAGTCCGACCTGGGCATCTACATTACCGTTTACGAACACTAGACCAACGAGGCAGTTCATAGAATACTATAATACATAATAGAATGGCTGTCAACCTTATTTCGTACCGAAGTTTGTCGTCGCCGGGAGCACACATACAAGCAATTACGTCGTATTATCAGTTAATCACTACTACAAACCCGATTCGCTATGTTGACAGACGGATTTTATTACATATTTATTTGTAAATAGCGGCATTTTTTAAATAATTTGCATGCGAAATTTGGAAACGGTTGTAACGTCAAAACACGTTTTGTGTTGACATTTATACATGTGAAAAGACGTGTTAGTGGCATTTTAGTGGCTACACGGGCTCCTCTCACTCCCCCGTTCTATTATGTATGTATTATTCTATGAGGTAGTCACAAAAACAAAACAGTATTATAAAATAACCGGTTCTTGTATGCGGTGCACAGCGGCGGGCGGGTACTACCTGTGCGCATCGCCTGGCGCGGGGGGTGCGGGGGGCGCAGTGAGCACAGGTGGCACGGTTGGCTCAGGCGGCGTGGGGGGTGCGGGAGGCGTGGGGGGTGCAGGGCGCAGCGCCGGCTTCTTGTCTTCGCTCACGGGCCGCCCGCGACGGCGTCGCCAGCCGCCGCAACCGCACCACTACTCCGTGAGTAAACCACACTTTATAGCCTATGGTTGTAATATGCATGGGTCGCCTCGACGAATGGACCGGGGAAAGTCCACGCTCTCACAGAATATCAATGTGAAATAACACCTCAATGTTTGCTGTGTTTCGTATGGTGAGTGTAGAGAACCCGAGACCCTTTTTACTGGAAATAAGGGATTCTATCTTAATTCTCAGGGATGACAACACATCTGCATTTTGATTCTTGTAGCGCAGCTTTCAAATACCATCAGATGGACTCTGTGGCCGTTAAGTTTACTAAAGGAATATGAAGGAATACCTCACAGGCTGTAATTATTCTGGTTTCATATACCTTTATATCTTTAGTCCGGGACATAACAGTGCATGCTCAACTGCTTGGCGACTGATACTTTTTTTACGTCGTAGAGCCATGCTGCAGCTACATTATGGTTGTAGTACAAATGGGTCGACTCGACCGAGGAAGAACCACGCCTTCACAGAGTACCAGCGTAAAATAGCAGATAAATGCTGCTGTGTTTCGTATGGTGAATGTAGAGAACCGGAGACTCTTTTTACTGGAAACTAGACATTCCGTCTTAGTCCTCAAAGCTGGCAACGCATCTGCATTTTAATTATTAGTCGAAGATAGATCCAGTTACTATCACTAGTATTCGAGGACTGCACTCTCATCTCAGCCCAGTCAATCACCATTTTGAGACTGAGAAGCCGCATCTACTTTTCGTGACGGAGACCATTGAATGTGGCGTACCTGGACTATCGTGAATTCTCCCTGGAGCACAAATTCCATCTACGTGCCAGAGTCTCCGTCACCGTGAAGACCCTACTTTTTCAACAATCTGGGTGATGGTAGATACAGGTATTGAAAAAATACTTTATGCCTGTGTCTATCGATCGGTCACAGCGGTGACCAGGACAACACGATTATTTGATCATTATTATTGATGCTGCTGATGTGGCCCTAAATCGGTATACTATTGTACAGCTCGTCTTTCTAGGGGACTTTAACGCCTGTCACCAAGACAAGCTCTTCACATAACAGCAGACCGACCATGCTGGAAGAGAAGCGTGGAATTTTGCCTTGACGCTAGGTCTTTCTCAGCTGGTAAAAGAAGCGATTAGGGTATCCAATGAAGACGGTCACACAGCTCATTGCTTGGACCTTCTGCTGACAACCGAACCAGACAGGTATGAAATACAGGTAACCTCCACTTTGGGTACATCTGACCACTGTCTGGTGAAATCTGTATCGTCATATTCTCCACCAGATTACCTATCTCAATGTGTTGTTCGACGAATATAGCGGTATAAGTCAGATGATTTGACAGCACTTTTTGCATCCTAATCTCGAACAGATCTCTCTGTTTCCCTTCTGCGGATCCGTCGAGTTGCGCAGATTCGATAACCGACGTGTTGCGTCAAGCTATCGAGTATTTTATCCCCCTTTCTGGCACTCCCACCGGTAGCAAAGTTCGCCCATGGTTTAACGCTGAATACGCTCAAGCTGAATGACGCAAGCCTTTAGCGTACCTATCCTGTGTTGCCGCTCAAAATCGCAGACTACGGATATCAGTTCCAAGAAGAGAACTTTCAACCAGGCTGCCAAGTCCTACAAAAAAGAGTTACGGAAAGCCAGTTTTGATCGCATTAAACATATTGGCGCAAAACTCTGCCAGACCATCCGGCACTAGAGCGTTTTGGTCTCTTGCTAAAGCGATCGAGACAAACTTCTGTCGTCACTGCACATACGGCTAAAGAGAAAGTGGATTTGTTCGCATCTCTATTTGCCTATAATTCGCGTCGGGACAATGGCAACAACATTTCATCTAAATTACCTCACTGCGGGACCACTGTCAGATGTTCGTATCACAAATTAGGAGGTTCTTAAAACCTTGCGGTATCTACGAGGGCTGCACTAAAAGTATTGGGAATGGAATATTTCCACTGTTCCTGTTATATTAAAATCTTTTTAATTGAAAACTCCTTGGATTTAAAAGACAAATACCATAATGATTTCTTAAATTTACGCGAACACTACACATTGAATAAAACTATTATTTACATATTATAATAATAAAACTATTATTTATGTTCAAGATCGTCCCCACCATTACATTAGATTTGATAAACCACAAATTCTCGCAAAAGAACACCGATTCCTACCAAGGATGATACGCGAGGCTATTGAAATTAAAAAACATCCAAATTTCAATAGAGAAGATGGTTGGGTGCTACCATCTGCTTGGGATCCTATAATCAACAAAATTAAACCCAAACCCAAGCATACCACTGCAAGACTTCATGATACTATAAGCTCGTTTTGCGTAAATCGGACCAAAAATTAATATTAAAAAACTGAAGGTAGCCGGACTAACTATGACATTGGGACGTCAAACATCTCAGTCCCCCCCGTGACCATGGGCGCTGTAAAGCACCCGAAACGTCGGGATAATAATAAAAATAAATTAAAGTAATTAAACGCGATAAAATCCGTAAATAATAGTTTTATTCAAGACAAATACCATTTATTTATTTAAAAAAAGATTCTCGGTCTTGTCACAAGGTTTTGTCAAACTTGTTTAGTCGTTGAGAAAATGGAATTGACTCGAGAAAATTCAAGAGCGATGATTTATTATGACTTTGGAAGTGGTTTAACACAAAAACAGTATGTTGACCGGATGATTTCTGCATTTGGTGGTGAAGCCCCATCCAAAACCACATTTTATCGCTGGTTTGCTAAATTTCAACGTGGACGTGTCAAGCTCAGTGATGATCCCCGTCAAGGTCGTCCAAAAACTGCAGTCAGCCAAGAAAACGTTGATGCTGTGCGTAAGCTGATCGAGGAAGATCGACATGTGACATACCGCGAAATTTAGGCAACTTTAGACATTGGCATGAGTCTAATACAAATAATCTTGCATGAACAATTAAGTGTAAAAAAGTTGTTTTCCCGATGGATACCGCATTCGCTCTGTGAAGAGCACAAAAAGCGGCTCGCGTTATTTGGTGCGTCAGAACTTTCGAAAGATTCCACGCAGGATCCTCAAATGCTGTATATAACATTGTATCAGGTGACGAATCCTGGATATATGCGTACGAACCCGAAACAAAAAACCGGTCACGAGTTTGGGTGTTCGAAAATGAGTTAAAGCCAACAAAAATTGTTCGTTCACGGAGTGTTGCAAAAAAAATGGTGGCCACGTTTGTCTCCAAAACCAGCCATGTTACGGCTATTCCTCTTGAGGGACAAAGAACGGTTAATGCAGAATGGTATGCTAGCATTTGTTTGCCACAGGTCGTTTCTGAACTCCGTAAAGAGAACTGCAACCGCCGCATCATCCTCCATCACGACAATGCGAGTTCTTACACCACACACAAAACAAAAGAGTTTTTAGAGCAAGAAAACATAGAATTGTTAGACCATCCGCCGTTCAGCCCCGACCTAAGCCCTAATGATTTCTATACTTTCCCTAAAATAAAGAATAAATTGCGTGGACAGAGATTTTCATCACCTGAAGAAGCTGTGGACGCCTACAAAACGGCCATTTTGGAGACCCCAATTTCCGAATGGAATGGTTGCTTCAATGATTGGTTCCATCGTATGGAAAAATGTGTCAAATTTCGCGGAGAATACTTCGAAAAGCAATAAATACATTTTATTTTAAATAGTAATGTGGTGTCACTTCCTTGATCCCCGAAATTTTCAGTGCCGCCCTCGTAGACGTGAATGAAAGCTAGCGGACCAGATGGTATACCATCTATAGTTCTAAAGGCTTGTGCACCTGAGTTGTCTCTTGTGTTGACACGCTTGTTCTGCGTCCCATTTAGGACTGGAATAGTGCCAAAATTCTGGAAGCTGGCCAATGTGCAGCCTGTTCCAAAAAAAGGCAGCCGTGCCGACCCTACCAATTATCGGCCAACTCAATTGCCTCCATACTCTGCAAGATTATGGAGCGTATATTGAACGCCCGCTTAACCTCTCGACCCTCTAGCGGTCTCATGAGACCGCGGCCATATTCCGTCGAATTCCCAGCGGTCTAGTGAGGTCGCACCCACCCACAGCACTTTAACCCATAAAAACATATATAGAGACTACTTTTCTATGAAGAAGTTTGGCATTATGTAATCAATATGTAAATCTATCCTCTACTGCAATAAAAAACTGTTATCCTATGAATATATTGCGTTGATTTTTGGATTTTTCTAGTGTTTTATTAGTGTTTTAGTATATGTTGAGTGTTTTATTATAAAATTGTAATAAAAGTTTTTGTGTGAATATAATTCATATTTTTACGTAAATAATTTTGAGTAATATATATTGAAATAATTCTGATTTTCACGCTGCCGACATTCGTTTGGTATGTTTTTTTGTGTTATCAAAATATAATAAAATCTTTTTGTAATGAAGTAAAACCTGACTTTTGTTTAAAACACAAGATAGAAAATTTTGTAAAGATTTTATAATGCTAAAACTTCTTCTTAGAAAAGTAGTCTCAAAATATAAGTTTTAATGGTTTTTAGTGCTGTGGGTGGGTGCGGTCGCATACGACCGCTCGGGATTAGCCGCATGTAACTGCATGGGATTGTTATGGCGCTTGAAGGGTTAATGGCATACCTAGAATAGAATGACCTCCTTAGTGACAGGCAATACGGGTTTCGCCGAAATCGGTCAGCTGGGGACCTTCTAGCGTATCCACACGTATGGGGCGAGGCACTCGAGAACAGTTGAGGAGCACTTGCTGTTGGCTCCTTCTTTCCGAAATGTATCACTGAAATACACCAACCGTCTCCAGTTGTTGGGGGTTGAGATATCCTCAAATCTGAACTTCGGGCGGTTCATAGAGTCCAAGGCCAAAGCAACTGTAAGAAAGCTTGCAAAGGTGCGGCGATACTTCACACCGGGACAGCTGCTTACTTTATATAAAGCGCAAGACCGGTCGTGCATGGAGTATTTCTGCCATATATGGGCTGGTTTCAAAATGCCACCTAGCAGCCTTGGACTCAGTGGAAAGGCGTGCTAAGAGGCTTATTGGTGACCCGAATTTGATTAAAACCAATCTTAATAGCCTCGAACACAGGCGCAAAGTCGCCGGCCTTTTGGTTTCCAACAGGATGCATTTCGGAAAGTGTGCGCAGGAATTGCATAATTTAATTCCTACCTCCCTTCCACCATCGGACAACCAGACGTTCGGCCAGTCTCCACCCTTTCGTTGTTACTCTATTTTAAACGACAAAGTTACCCAAAACAAATATTAGAATATCCTTGAACAAAAGTCAAGAGATTTATTTGGAAAAAACGAAAACATAGAGTTTTTTATGAAAAAATCCAATCTTCAATAAAATGTAGCCTATATCACATGAAATCTCAAGAACCATTACAAAGGAACTGATTAATCTCCATAGAAACTAAATCATTGCTAAAACGACGTGCAGATTTTAAACATAAAAATATCTAAACTATGAGGAAATAAAAAGAGCAATCACAATTATTTAAAACTGCAAACAAAAAATGACCAATATAAAATACAAATATTAGAGGAACACCTTAATAATAAGAGGAGTCTGAAAAAAAGCTAATAAGCAATTAAACAAAAATAAAAATTGGATTCCACAACTTATAGCAAATAAAAACGGAATTCAGACAAGCGAAGATGTTGTAATTGAATATCGCAACAGAATTTAATAAGAACCTCTACTGAACGAAGAGTATAGATACTCTGGAATCTGAACAAACACTAGAGGAGGTCTATGACTCCACAAATATAGATAAGTTTATCGAGATAGAAATCATCAGAAACATAGACAAGCTGAAAAAGGACAAAAGTCCCGGTCCTGACGATATCGCTAACGAAGCTTTGAAGTTTGGTAAACATCTATTAGCTATGCCTCTCATGGAACTGTTTAATAGTTTAAAAAAAACGTAGAGTTTCCAAAAAATGCACAGAATCAAGAATTATTCTCTCGATAAAAAGTTGTTTCTACGAATGCTAGCAACTATCGCCCTATAAGCCCGTTACCTGCAATAATTAAACTTTTCGCATTGGGCCTGGGAAAACGAATAGGAGGTCAAATAGATGAACAGCAACCGACAGAACAAGACTACTTTCGTGGAGGTTTCTGCATCAAATAATCATATATATAATTTAGATTTAATTAATTGAAACATTTGTAGAGGTTTTTAGACTACTTAACAGCATTCGGCTCTATATGCCACAGTATATAGAAGGCTCTCAGGTAGCAAAAAATACAAACGTATATAGCTTTCATAAAAACATATATGACAAGCCGAATTAAACTTGATCTCACAGGACCTGAGATCAAAATACGTAGAGGAGTAAAACAAGGCAATCCTCTTTCACATAAACTTTTTATAGCAGTACTACACATTATGAAAGACGGATACTGGAATAAAACAAGTGTTAATCTCAGTGACAACTATTTTAATAACCTTCGCTTTGCCGATGATATTGTTATCTTCTCCAATTCACTTAAAAAACTTGCAGCCATGATAAAAGAAATTAACAATGTAAGCACAAAAATAGGGCTAATACTAAACTCCGAAAAAATGTAGTTATCCACAAATAACACAAAACATCCAATAAAAGTAAAAAAGTAGATGAAATAGAGCTTGAATGTGTAGACCACTATAACCACTTGAGCAAACAAACATTTTTTTTAAAGTCAAAAAATCAAGACGAAATCGATAGAAGAATTGCAATACGTGGTAGAGCCATGCTGCAGTTATATTAGTAGTATAGTTGTAGCACGACCGGGGAAGAACCACGTTCTCACAGAATACCAGCGTAAAATAGTAGCTTATTGCTACTGTGTTTCGTATGGTGAGTGTAGAGAACCGGAGACCCTGTTTACTGGAATCGTAGTAGCGATCACTTCTCTGACCCGTGAACATCTTGCATGTGACTCGTGAATTTTCGACAAAATAATATACAATAGACGCGCAAGATGGTTCCCTGTACAATAAAATAGTGCGTAAATAGTAGCCAAATGTGTAATTTCAAAAAAAAAATGGCATCTCTTTTCATAGATAAGTGAATTTTAATTTCGCAACTCATTAATTAAAATTAAATCAGAGCTCAACCTACATTTGTCACAAGCAACTCGCGTTGATTTATTCGGACATCTTCGGATATTTTCGGACTATGCATCCCTTTCTTTTTAATGCAGTTCATTGTTGCTATACTTTTCTTTAATTACCGTCACGTGTATCTAGTGCCGTACCAGTTAAACTGTAATATTGGTCGAATGTTATCGTGAATGTTTTACAGACTTATGCTATAAGCGACGGTGTAAGCTGAATTTTTTTAGTGAATGTACCATATTTGAATTAATTGATTTAATAATTAAATCAAATTATTCAAAACTTCTTAAAAATAATTCATAATAAAATTGATATAATTTTTAATAGACGGCACACCGCTCTCTTTACTGCTAAGACGCCATGTCAAGACAAGTAGGAAACTTGACAGTTTAAATAACTATTGCTATTTTATTTTTAATAGTATTCTATTATTATTTCAATATTGTAAAGAAAGCTTGTTTTAATAAAAAATATTCTTTAAAATAAAAAATTATGGGTATTTTACTAAATACGATACCTACTTAAATAAAACTTCTTTTGTTTTTTTATTTTGAACTAATTTGATAGTAGAATATAATTCTGGTACTTATTAAGTAGACTTGTTACCAAATTTATTAGTTAAAGTTCCCAACACTATTTGCTTATTAGCAAGTGTCGCAACTTTGATTTTAACCAATTAGCGTGCATTTCAACCCGCCTCTCCCGTACCACTTACCCCAGACTTTTGACAGACAGGTTTGGATAGAACCTGGAATAAGTTTTGGAAACACAAAGAGGTACTCAAAGCAGATTTACCGTTAAATTTAAAAAAGAAAGTCATCGATTGCTTCTTACTTCCCTGTCTCACATATTGCTGCCACACATGGATCTTTAAAAGACAAACAAGGAATAAAATACCGACATGTGAAAGTGCTATGGAAAGAAGTATCTTTTTTTTGCGCCCGAAGCAAATATGGGCAACCCTCCGGAAAGCGGGGGAGGGAGGTGGTGAATTCTCATAGCATACCACGCAACCGGCTGCGTGGTTATGTGGAGACTTTTACCCACTAAACACCGCCTTTATGGATTGGCTTACCGATCTGACGAGAGATCTCTAAGCCGTATACGAACGCGACCCTCCTTGGCAGAAAGGAGGGCGCAATCTAGCATGTAAAAATTAAAGAAGTACCCTAAATATAAAACTAAAAGACAAATACAAAAATAATGACAATCGTAGGAAAAGCAGAGTGATAGACCATTACATTACTCTCCAAAATTGAAGTGGAAGTGTCATATAGCACGATCTACTGATAAAAAATGTAGACCATTACACAACAGGTAACCGTGTGGAAAGGATCAACATACAAACGCAAACAAGGAAAACCTAAATAAATTTCAAAGAAAACCGAAATTTATTTCGGTTTTCCTTTGAAAGGACAGCAGGAAAAAATTGGTTAACAATAGCACAGAACCGGAAAGAGTGGGAAAAGGTGAAAATTTCCTTAATTGAAATATATTTTTATTTTCTAAGCGTAGATATAATTTTTTTTTGTAATTATTTTGTATTAAGGAATAAGGAATCTTCATTATTATGATCCTACCTGATTCTATTAATTATCTTATTAGTGGATGCTAGGTGCGAAGTTCAAAGCGAAATGTCACGTCTGGCCCGTACGTGACGACCTATGACGTCATAGCTGGACGAGTTCAAGTAGTTATTAACGGAATTATTTTCCTTTGGTCAGCAGGCCGGGCCGGATTCGTCGTCGAACACGTCGTCGTGCAACAGCTCGACGCCATCGTCCCCCGCACTGGCTGCGCCCGCGGCGCCCGCTGTGCCCGCCAGCCCGCTGCCGCACCACCACGCGCACCCCCCCGCACACCCGCCCCACCAGCCTCTACACAACAAGCAGCAGTTCCACTTCCCAGGTGATTACTGTTAAGGGGTGATGAGTCCCTTTTCGAAAAGTCGAAAATTATATATAAATTATTGTTGAAAGCAATGAAATTTGTAAAACCGTTTTGATTATTGTGTAGTATTCGTTAAAATTAACACAATATTTATTATACACACTTCATCTGATGCTAATTTTGTTTGTAAAAATACAGAAATACTTAATAATTTATTAAAATATAGCCCCGACTTTGTTTGTTTTTCAGAAAACTTAAAAGTACTTAAAATGGCTATATAAAAAATGTTATTAAGTACTATCACAATATATTGTAAAATATTTCGAATATGTCTATGTTGAAGTTATTGCGTGTATAATACTTTAACATCCTACGTAATTATGGTCCTTCGAGCCTGATATAATAATATTTTTATTTGATGCACTATTGTTCGTTATTTCCGGCGTCATTTACATCAGAAAATTAATTGCGAATAACTTACGATTCCGAAATGATAGAACATCTGTTTGTTTTTTAACAGAAGTAAAGCCGCCAGTGTCAAGTCCGAACCACAACTCTGCCGTGCAATCGCCGGCGAGACCTTCGCCTAATCACAAAGAAGATCTCACCTCTAGTATTAAAAACGGTAAGTCATTACGTATTTGTCGTAGTTGCTGCGCTTGTTAGGCGGGTTGGCGACTACAGTTTTTATTATTTTTGAGTTGTCAGAAAGGTGCTCCCACAGTAGGTTTATCTTTTGTATCGACGAAGTGCTTTACGCATATAAAATGTACAATGACACATCTAGACCCCCAAACAATTATTTGTAAGCCATACAACTACATGTTCCGTGCGATATTCAAACCTGCGTCTCGCAGCTTGGCTACCAAGCGCTTAGCTGCGCTACGGAGCAGTCAAGCATGACGTTATACAGTACTTGTTATATTGTTACAAGCTTGGGGTTCGTGACAGTTAAAAGCTGCCGATTGAATTACCAAAACCAATTACAACTTAAAACACACTAATAATTAATCGCAGTTATGTTGCTTCGAGTATTCGCTTGAACTGCCAATTCAATACTCATCCGGGTCGCGGTCAATACCAGTCTTATATAGGACCTTTTCTATTCAAACATCTAAAATGTTCGAGTAGATACCGGTCCCGTCCCGACCGACTAGGTGTAGAAAGTTCTCTCCTAGTTCTGCCACTAGATACTAGATGGCGCTAGTGGCATTAATTATGGCTTGAAACAATGCGCATGTGTGTTTATACATTGAACATAGAGGTAGGTTATAGTATAAGAAAAGTTTAAAGAAAGTGTAACAGTTGTGAAACGAATTCACTTTTGCACACCAATGACAGTAGTATTGCAAGCAGTGGGTCGCGTGTTAGCGCACTTCACTTTTTGTATCAATAAATAGTATTAAACTAATTTGTGTTGTGTTTAAAGTGTTGTATTGTTGAATAAAACTATTTTTACTCGACCCAGACCGGATCTGCTTGAAAGCCTGCAGTTTATGATCATATCCTAGACGGCCGCCGCCATTACATAGGATTTGATAGACCACAAATTCTCGCGAAAGAACATCGATTTCTGCTAAGGATTATATGTAACGCTGTTGAAGTCAAAAAACATCCTAATTTAAATAGAGATTAATATTAAATTCCAATCCAAGCTACAACTGCAAGACAGGGATGTCTATCACCTCAGTGCCCTCCGTGAACATGGATGCTGTAAAACACGCGAATCGTCGGGACTTAAAAAGTTAAAGTTAACGCGACAAAGTCCGTAAAAGTAATTTATTCAATTCAATACTCATTTTTAAGATGCAGTTAAGTCTTGTGCTATCTCTATTACTAAGTCAAAGTGACTGTGACACTATGAGATATAAGGATACATTATGACTAGCGTTTGAGTATTTGGGCAATGGTGTGTTGAAAGTGGTTGTACTGTTGTGGTGTGCAGAGCGATGCTGCCTGGTGTCGCTGAGCGGGTCGGGCTCCACCGACAGCGGCGGCGCGCGCGGCGACTCGCTCGACCTTGCCGCGCACGACGCGCCCGACGCGCGCTGGCCCCGCCAGAACTCCGTGAGTACCACGCATTACCACGCGCGCGCGCGCACACACACACACACACACACACACACACACACACGCACGCACGCACGCACGCACGCACACACACACACACACACACGCACGCACGCACTTTATTCTCGTTTCTCGCAGACTTCAAAAATCTAATTGCATCTAGTGATTATCTATTGGATTTCATGTCGTAACATTTGCAAATTGTTGTCAATATACACAGCTATAGCAAGGCGTTTGATAGAATGGATCAGCAACAAAATTGTCATCTGTTACTTTTGTCCTGTAGGATATATTTCGGATTTGTCATTTAGTCTTAGTGACATCATCAAAATGTCTAAACGCATTCGTTTCCTAAATTTAAAGAATATTTTTTAAAGAAAATATGCCCGATTGTGTATTTATAAGGTATTGTAAGTCCTGATATGGTGCAAAATCTGAATGTAATTTCGGTTTATTATCGCAAGTATAATGTATATTTACCTAATAATTTTGAAATTGTGTTATTTCTGGTATATTGCTCTACAACATTTATCATTATTGTAATAAGCACCCCCTGTTATCCAGTAACGTCATTATTTATTTACCAAATGAGTTAGTGATTGACGACGTTTATCGATTGGTGTTATCGATAAAACAGGATGCCAATTTAATCATCTACAATATTTTAAGGAGGTGAAACATTAAACGACACCTTCCCGATACCAATAAAGAAATCGGGAAGGCCTGTGTCTGGGCACACGGCCGTCGGTTTTAACTTGAAACATCTACGTCAGCCAGTACAACCAGTACAACCATTCAACAAGATAGCCTTTTCTTAAATATTTTAATACAATTCTACAATACCAGGAATCATTGCCGGCCTTTTAAAAAGGAATACGTTCGGTTCTTGAAGGTCCCTAAGTCGTATCAGTCCGTAAAAATCGCCGATGGTAAAGAATCCCAAAAATTATTCGTGCGAGGAAGAAAACTCCCAATAAATCGCACAGTAGTGCCGCCAAGCATCCCTATGATAATGATGTATGGAAACGTAAATTTTGTCGAAATGTGTGTTGGTGAAATTTCGTGGCTGGAATTAATCCAAAAAATTCCTCAGAGCACTCCCTGTGGCAAATACGATAGAAAACGCAAAGGGACGCAACATCTCTACGCAGCGCCAGTGAAGCGATCCAATCCTATTTAGCTTTCTCTTCCAAGTGACCACGACACTGCAGGTCATTCGAAATGTCGACGCTGATGATTCCGGTATTGGCTGCGGCAACAAGGGAAGTGCCTTGAAACTGAGGAGATACTACGAAGGGGTTCTTTTTAGCGGTAAACGCGCAAATTTGTGCCTTCTAGGGAATAAACTGGACTAGATTTAGCGGCCCCCAGTCCGAGACTTTGTACAACAAAGTCTCGACTTCAGACAGAAGTTTGTCCCGTTACTCGGCAACGTTTTTCCGAGAAATATTGGTACGACCGGTGTAAAAACCATCACCAGTGCTGTCTGAGGAGATACGACAAAGGGGTTCTTTTTAGCGTAAACGTGCAAACTTGTGATTGATTTACCGTGTAACGACTTTTAAGTTCAGTGCTTTAAATATGTTAGATTGTAAGTATATTTTTGTAAAAGGGCTGAATTTCAAAAACATGGAGGCGCTTTTTTATGAGGGCGATACTAAAAGTTTAGAACTGGCCCCTTGTAAACATTGAAGTAATATGTACTTACGTACTAGAACAGCTATCTCAAACAAAAAATCTGCGCTACTCTGTGTTCGCGCGGTTGTTTTTTTTATCATAGAAGAAATATAGGTAGAATGATCCGTAGGTAATAGATTGTATTGTTAAATAGGTAAAATAAATAATATCGAGAAAAAATTATAACGAGAACAATATTTAAATTTTGTCATTTATTTTGTATATTATATAATATAATATACAAAATAAATGATTTAATATTATATTAAATAAGCAAATATTGGCTTGTTTAATATTACATAATATTATATCACAATTACATTTTAATGATATTTTTATCTGAATATTTTAAAAGGTATCTATGTCAAATATAAAAAAAAACATACTAAATGTATGTTTAACAAAACTTATTAAAACAATTTTAATTACAAATATATTTATTTAAATTAGAATAAGAGTCGTTCATAAATGCTGGGCACGCGAGAGTTAAAAATGGACGAATTTATTCCACTTTGACTTTGATGTGGAAACCTAAAAATAAAATAAAACGGAAATAAAATAAGATTTAAACACGAAAAATTTAGCCTAATTATAATAACTTATATATATGTTTCTACAAAAAAATGTGTATATTAATATATTCGTCCTATACTTAAGTACCCACAGTAATGTCGCATCTAAACATATTAATTTCATAATCTATATTCCATGACACGAGATGGCGTCTTAAGAATAATTTGTTTTATTATTAATCTATAATACTTTTTTTATTGATTAAGTGTATCTTATTAACCGATGAAAAGTAATTCCTTGATTTTTATTGACATTTATTAAATTATTTGTGCAATATCTAAGTACACAAGACGGCATATTTTTATCAAGAGATTTTTTTTAAATCAACACAACACGTAACAACTCTACAAGCGCCTAGCGAGTGACTGATAGGAGTGGTCGTTACGAAACGTAACTAGTTACTGAAACTATCTATTCACACAATAGCGAGTAGCGGGTTACTGCAGTGCAACGAAACTATCTATTACAGTAGACGTTTTACTCAGTAACACGATTCACGTTTCACGAATCACGAACGAGCGATCAGTAACAAAACGTTTATTCGGCTATTTTCGCGACGCGTCGGCGACGGCTTCGGCTGTTGAAGTAGAAGCACATGAGTAAAAAAAAACCGACTTTTTTACGCTGTGGTAGAAGTACCACCGGTTGTCGAAAGTCGAGTGAGCGCGTGTGCTTTTGCATTTGACCTATGACTCTATTTCCTTCGTATAGATGCGATATTAGAAATGAGAAAGTAAGTGTACATGTTTTTAACAAAAAATAGTTCAAATACCATAATTTAAGTGGCCTTGGCCCGGTTTACATTAGTCTTTTGTTTAAGTTTAATGACACGGTTTGTTTTTACTTTTTAGGCGCGTTTGTTTCCTTTTTTGTGCAACAATAATAATATTTTTAGTAAAATAAGAACTAAATATAATTGTATATATTAGTGTTGATAATAATAATTGTACAGTAATTAGTGTAAATAACTAAGTGTAAAAATAATACTAAAACTTTATGTGATTGTTATCAAAAATGTCTCGAAGTAATGCCAGTGTACTTCGAAGTGATATTTTTATCAAACCGTGCGAACTGATTTAACAAATAAATAAATTTAACCATTAACACCATGTCTAATTCTATACGAAACGGTAACAACGGTCGCAACGTTTTGCAATTGAACACGTCGTGAAACACTCTATTGAAGCCGCTATTAAAATAGAGTGTTTCCAAACCCTCTATTAAAATAGAGTGTTTCAAAAGCCGCTATTGATATTCGATAGATAGATTCGTTTCGTTACTCAAAGAAGCCGCTACTACCCACCGCTAGTGACTGATTAAAGTGTGTATGCACCGCAGTTGAGTGGAATAGAGTAGCTGAATGCAGTGTCGCCTCTAGTACGTAGTACAATAGCTCAATGCTTGTAAACGATATAATAAAAAAATAAGTTCAAATTTTGAAAATGAAACTCTTTACCAATAATATTCTGTATGTATTTTATTAATTTGTTATTTGTTTACGATTTGGCGGCAAATTGAAAATATTCAGTGTCACGTAAGCATGAATTTAACGCGAGAAAATTTTCGTACAATCATTTTTTATTGCTTTCGATCTCATTTAAGTCAACAAGAAAGTTATAATAGACTTCGATTGGCTTTTCAAGATGAAGCCCCATTTGGTGCCACTGTTTACAATTGGTTTAATGAGTTTAAACGATGTCGCACTAATTTTGCCGATGACCTGCGTGAGGGACGGCCTTCGACCGCGATGACTGAAGATAATATCAATGTTGTGCAGTGTTATGATAGAGACTGACAAAATAGTGACTAATCAGCAGATTCGGACAAACTTAGGTATCAGTATAAGTCATGTGCACAAAATCCTCCAATAAAATTTAGCGGTCAGAAAGCTTTGCGCCCGGTGGGATACCTCATAATTTGACAGAGGCCCAAAACTCCGTCGTGTTGATTGGTGTCGTGAAATGGTTCAAAGATTTAACAGAGGTGACTCAAATACTGTGTTCGACGTACTTACGGGTGACGAAAGCTGGATTTCTTGTTATGATCCTGAAACTAAGAGACAGTCTGCTGTCTGAGTCTTTCCTTCCCTCGGAAGTTGTCAACTAAAGTGAAGGTAGGTTGAAGCGTGGGAAAAAAGATGGTGGCCTCGTTCTTCGAAAGGACTGGTTATTACGCATCAATTGTTTTATAGGATCGAAAAACGCTGCAGAGTGGTACACTAACATTTGTTTGTCGCTTGTCTTGGAAAAAGTTCGGGACAAACGACATCGCAGTAGGATCTTCCTTCACCATGACAACGCCTCGTCGCACACTGCCAAACAAACAATCGACTACTTGGCGACGTCCGACGTGGAATTACTGGGTCACCCGCCTTATAGACCCGACCTCGCAACCTTGCGATTTTTATTTATTTCCGAAAATAAAAGAAAAAATTTGAGGAAAACGTTTTATGGACGCCGTGGAAGCAATGTGTAAGTGAGCCAAGTGCTTTTCTCAGTGGTTCCATCGTATGCAACGATATATTGATGTACATTGACACTATTTTGAAAAGATATAATAAAACTTATAACTTGCCAGTTTATTCAGTTTCTAAGAACTTTCAGTGTCACCAATCATATGCTATTCTAATAGCGTCTAATGGACCGAGTGATGTCATCCAAGATGCCACCAATGTGACTGCTGTATGAATTGATTCTTAGTTATTGTAAATTAAATATTTTATTTCATGACACTCAAGTATAATAACATGTACATCAAAATCTAAAAATAAAGCAATTGAATTGATAGATTCTACACACGAGCAAAAATCAGTCGATGATATAAATCAGTTTTTGTAACAATCGGGAAAGATTTAGCAGAGAAAACACTAAAATGCAAAAACCTTTCACACAGTGACAAAGGATATACCATAAGTTTCATAAAATCCTTCGTATTGTTTAGTGGTGGTGGTTGAGGTAGAGCAACTCATCATAGAGT